AAAATGTACATTCCAAGACAGAATGAGGAGACACAAGCTTAAGCAGAATTTTCTCCCACATTAACTAGCAAGACTCTTTGGCCTTTCTGTGCTTAATAAACCAAGTAGCAATATGACAATTAAAAGAGGAAAAAGAAAGCAGATGTCTGGATCTGTTTGTCTCTTGGCAGCTGCCCCTACAGCAGCAGCAGGGATGAGGAGTGGGGTTCCCTCATGAGCACAGGTGGACATGCAGCCCCCAGACATGGCCACAGGACAGCTGTGTCCCACTTGGAGTTCAATGCTCTGGCAGTGGTCTCCCACAGCAGCACCCACTACCACCACCATGGGCCCACTGGGGTCACCCTCTGGGGTGCTGCCTGGGGCTGGTGCCCCAGCAGGTGTCTGGGAGCCACCAGGCTCCTCTGGATGAGGTGGAAGGGGCCGTCACCAGACCCACTCAGGCTCTTGCATACTGTGTGTCCTCCAACCCCTGCTCTGCATACAAAAGTAGTGATTCCCCCATGGGCTCCCTTGTAGTCATCTCCATAGTGTTGTGTACGATCTAACACTACCTCAGTTTGTGAGATGAAGAGCTTGCTAACTCTGTTTCACACTTGAGAAACTGTGACACAGGATGCTCAGGGCTGAGCACCCTTCAGCTCCAGCTTCCAAAGGTGAGTGGGACAGGAAAGCTCTTTGAGAATACTCAGCATTATTATCCTGTACAGCCTGCTGACTGCTTGAATTGCTGCAGGCTGTTTCATTGTTTTTTTCCAACGCTTCCAAGCCACCCACTTTCTCTGGATGATTTTTTCAGCCCTCCCCACCTCCAGCTCTTTGCGTGGCCCTCAGCTGAAGCCGTCAGGCTTCACTTCCCTGCATCCCTTCCTGGTTCGGCCCAGCTCTAGCTCAGCACTTCAGTTCTCACTGCTGTGCCACTGCCCAGCTTACGAAGCAGCCTCATTTTGTCTCTCATTGCATTTCTTGACATTTTCCATACCTCAAAAAAGATTGAGACAAACACCCAGGAAAAAAATTTCAGCCTGACGTGCAGAGATGTGGTGAAGCTACAAGAAACCAAGCATGGGCAATGTGCAATACTGCAGGCTGCAGCCTGGCTCGTTCCTAAGCAATATCATAAAGAGAAATTCTCAAGGAAGATCAGGATGCAAGTACACCAGGTGAGAGGAGTTGATTAGTACACTGCAAAGACATCCAAGTAAAAGTTATGTGAAGAGGAAGAAACTGATGTCATTTGTTGCTGACCCGGCTTTCCCTCATCTCTCTATCTTTCTCCCTTTATATTTGCTCCATTTTGGACCCAGAAATGAATACAAATTAGTTTAATAAAATTTCCCAACTGAGACACAAAACATTTGGAAATGATTTTAAAATACACCATGCAGCTGAAATGTCATGGTTAATTTTAAGCTGCAGCATGCAGCTGATGTCCTCCGGCTATTTCAGCAGTGCAGAAGATTGTAATTATTCACCTGTTAGAGCAAATGAAGCTTTAACAAGCCTGATCACAGTTGAAAAGGAGGAGTGGAGAGGATGGGGAGACAGATGCTGTCTCGGTATGTCATCTGTGAATGATGCCTTTGTAGCTCTTTGGGAGGAATTAGCCAGCTATAAAGAAAAAAAGCTATAATACAAAATGGACTGTTCTCTGTAACAGCAACTTTTTTAGATTTCCCTTTGACAAAGTTTTCCCAGTTAACTTATTGTAGCATAGTCATGATAGTACAGTTCCCAGCTGGTATAACACATCCACTTTTATAGGGAATTAAAAAAAAAAAAAAAGTGAAATGAGATTAAAAAAATTATCATTGGTGATTTTTGCCTTTGATCAAGAGTCTATGGGGCCCCTGTTCATCCTGCTGTTGATTCAGGATCACTCCCATCCCTGGGAGCTTCCTAGGTGTGAATGAGGAGCTTTGTGACTGTGAGCAAGGCTGGGGGCAGCCCTTGAGCCCAGGTGACAGTGCCCCTGGTGACATGCTGTCCTGTCTCTGGTTTTTGGCTGTAGTTTACATGGCCACACCATATAAAGAACCACTGTGTCACCCTGGGAGCTTTTTTATCTGCCATAAATCAAGAAAAATACAGACAACTGAGCTGTCCCCTAGTGGGGGCTGGGGATTTTCTCATCTCCTTGTACTAATGCTCCAGTAAATGTATTTTTCCTCTTGCTTTTGCCTAATGTTTTGTAATCTGCAGTTTTAGAGGCAACATTCTACTCAACCACAAGTTTAATTTTTCTGTTTAATTTCTAAGAGAAACAGCTTGATCTTCCTTCATCCCACACTGATCTCAGTAAATATTAGGTACTTTGAATCACAGAAACCTTTCTCACGGAGACAGTGCCCGTGTAGCAATGAAAAGAGCTTGACACATCAAAATGATGTCGCTTGTTTGCTTGCGCATGGAAGTTAGAAAGCACTTTGAAGTGGTAATGAAGTAAGTTCCTGCTACTTAACAGAAAGTTTTGATAAGATCATATTTGTTAGCAGAATACTTACCAGAAGAGCTGTAATCCATTGTTCTGTGGAAACAAGGATCCTGATGGAGAGCAGATGTTCTCTCCTTAACAAAAGACGTCCTCAGGCTGGGTGCTGGGCCTGGGCCTTTGCTCTCCTGCTGGGTGCCTTTCTTTCCTGATGTCTTCAGAGCCAACAGCAGGTGATAACAATGTGTTTCTCAACTTAAGCACCACCAGCCCCTTCATGCCTTGCCTCTCCTCACCTGAGAAAAATGTAGATTTGCCAGATGAGTGCAGAGCTCCCACCTGTGATAGGAATGTCAGATTCTCCCTATGCTCCGGGCTGGGATCAACACTTCCACGGTCCCAAAGTCTTGTTGCTTTTTCTGTGTCTCATTATCTGAGCTATCCTTTATGTTTTCTCTAGGCTTGAGTGAGTTATTTTATGGCTGAAATTCTTTTTATACGAGATAGATGTCTGTAGCATACCTCACCCTGCTTTGGTCCTTGATATTACTTAAGCTGACCTTTATTTACCAGTGTCTTACTAAGCACACCTAGCAGAGTGCTGGGAGCCACCAGACATCTCAGAGCAGCACCCCAGCTGCTCAAGGTCTTTAAGTCATGCAATCTCTTAGGAAGAGAAAGAGCCATGTCTGGAAAAATCAGACTCTAAAGAAACGGAAGCAGCTGGAATGCTTCATGAGAACAAAAAACAAGCACTGGTAACGTGCACAGAGTATTATCAAAAGCAGGAGGCAAGAAAGAAAGTCTAGATTTTTACTAACTGATCCTGTTAGAGGCAAAAAAATCGTGGAGATGGTTAGATGCTTTAAAGAGAGAGGACAAAACACCAAGATGCCCCTGGTATTCCCCAGAGCACTGTGGCCTGTAAAATCCTGATTTCAGTAACCGTATACTAACTGGCAATTTATGTGCACAGATGCAGGGAAGCCACTTGTGATTTCCAGGAGTAAGACTGAGGGGAGCATTGCCACATACTGAGGACGTAGGCACAGCTTGTGGAGGTTTTAATAAAGGACATAATAGTACAAGATAGTCTAAGGGCACTGATGGGACTGAATTCCCTGAATGTGAACATATACAGTGGCTCATAGAGATGTGCTTCTAAAGAACCAGGCTTGAGCCGTGGCATCAAGCAGCGGTGGCTGTGGTTCTATGGGACAGACAGAACAGCAGTGCTCTCCTTTTATGGCCTTCCCTCCTGCTGTAGGCTTTGCACACCTCGGGCTCCTTCGGGCCCATCCGCAGCCCTGATGGCTGCAGCAGTGGAGGATGGGGGGGGGCTGTGTTTTGCTCCTGGTATCCCACTGTGGTGCTGGGAGCTTGGTCCCCTCATCCCTGCCAGGAGGGAACAGTTTTGTGTCTCCGGGAGGTGAGGAGTGGTGAGGAGAGCTCACAAATCACGTCAGGGATTTTTGCCCCAACTTCAAGGGGTTACAGCAGTGTGACAACGGCTAACAGCCTCCTGTGCAGGTAAATTATATTTGAGCCTGCTTTGCAGAGGTTGCTCTAATGACTTTCTAACAAGGATTCATCCAGGAGCCATGACATGGAGCGTAAGTAATTGCAATCATACGGTGTCTGTGTCATTGACGCTTTCTGCTATTCTGTAATAACTACTATAATACTGTGTATAATTGGAAAGAAATGTAGTGTATTTTTGCTTTCTGAAGAACTGATGCTGATACAGCGAATGGCCTCTAAAGTCCTGCTGGGTATTCATGTATATCTGTGTAGTGTAATATACGGTCTTCTTATCTGACACTGCCTAAATTAATGTTGAACCCCTGGAACTACTGTGAGTTTCCTCTGCTTCTGAATTAGATTTCTGGATATTTACCATGTAAATCATTCGCTGCGTTGGGCTCTCAAGAGAAGCAGGACAGACTCTGCACATCAGCATGCCTTGTGCTGTTAGTGGATGGCTCCTTGTTCTCGAGGGACTCAAATTAGATTTAAAAAGAAGAAAGATTTCATACTCTTTCACATTCAGTGTTTGAGAATTAAGAATGTACTCACAAAGCAAAAAGTAATTTACCTGGATTTTGTGGTTCTAGCATTCCAAACAAATTGCAGTCACGTTAATTTCTTCTGGGAACATCTGCATTTAAATAAATCATAAAACAGGAGGTTTATATGCCAATATTTCACTTTTTATTTATACTTTCCCCCCCCCCCCGGGAAAGTATTCTTGGTGTTTGTCAGTGAAAGAAGGTCACTGAAAAATTAAAAATAAAAATGCTGAAGCAGGAATCAAAGCATTGTCACTTAACCTGGAATAACAGAACATTGCCAGACTAGATCTGAGTCAGACCAGTCCCCTCACCCAAAAAAACCCAGTATGTTAAAGACTGCCTCTGGTCTGAGTCCCAGTTTTCTATTGACCTTGAATGTTTATGGGTGAATTTACTGTTAAGGAGGGGTTAGCAGATGAGTCGATTCCCCTGTAACAGAGTGAAACCTGGCAGTAGAAATGAGGAATAAATATCTGTTGGCTTTTTTCCCTTCACAGGCACCAGGGTTACGTTTATACCTACCGAGTATCCAAGACAGAAACTGGGTCCTGGAGTGCTGAGGTCCGTGCTTCTCCTTTCTGAAAACTTCACTATCCTGTTTGGTGTTAGTATTGATTTAATGAAATGTATTCAAATTATTCATGCTTCTGCAAAGTCTGATTTTCATTGAAGGTAATCGATGTTGAGTGAACCCATCACAAAGATGTCTTGGTGCCACTTCTGACAATCTTGAACTCATAAATTAATTCCCTGTTACATTTCAGCTGTTGCATAATGCATTAGTGCATTATTTTGCATCATTTTCAATGGCAAAAAATATTATGTTTTTATAATTTGACAAGTGCAATCAGTATTCAATTCCTTTCTATCTCACATACCATTAACACCAGAATATTTAAGGAAATACTTTTCAATGTACACTGTTTTAAAGTCGTTTCTCTTCAAAACTTATTAGAAAGTGTATTTTCACTCGGTTGATAAGAAACCAGTAATTCAGGAATAGCGTAACACTATTTGCAATACAGATGACAATTTAGATTGATGGAATCTAGATGATAACCTTAGTTTCTTTTATGAAGATCTTGTTCTTTGGATGTAATCTCCATATTACTTTATAATTGTATTTCTGTTTGCACATTAAGCCTGATCTACAGACATTAAATAATTGCTAGACAGGCATAATTTCTTGGTTACTGTGCTAGCAGAAGTGGTTGCAATGCTCTGGAAGACAGGAGTGAGTCGTGGTGCTACTTGGAATCAGGTCAAGAGATAAAACATGCAGATTGCTGCGGACTAAATAATTCTCTGCCTCAGCCCTGAGAGCAGTGCTGAGGAAGAACTCACTCCTTACTGCACAAGGGACACCCTGAGGATTTGTGCTGCCTGGCGAGAGGGCCTGGGGCAGCACTGGGGCCTGGAGCAGTGCTGGAACCCCTGGGACGTCTACCTGTCAAGGGAGTTCCAAGTGAGGCCGCAGCATGCTTTGGCCACGATAACAGCAGTATCTGCAGTGCCCAGTGCTGAATGGGCCTACTGCTCCTCCATGGTATCCATTGGATGCCTGTGCATGGCTTTTTCCTGGTTGTGTTTAGGCAAACTTCATCCATGTTTCACAGAGCAGGCGTTCTGAGGGCTCAAGAATCTCATTGAAACCTCTGTAGAGGAAGTGCTAGTTATAGTTAGACACTAACTATTCCTTTATGCAACAGGAAACCATAGTGTAAACCATGTCAAGACCATGCTGGACTTAACTGCTAAGAACAGAAGTCTATGTTTTGCCCTCTTTCTTGTCCCCATGGGATGTGCCTTCAAAGCTGATGCTGGAGATTTCCCATCTCTGCTTTCTGCTCTGGGATGTGGTGTGTGGGCAACCCCAGATCACATCCATCCTTCAGGAACAATGCAGGGAAATGAAAACAGTGCCAGTCAAATCCCTTCTGGCATGTAGCAGTGGAGGCGGGATTTAGTGGAGCATTTGCAAAGATGCTAACATAAAAAGATTGAAAAAATCCCATTTTTTATCAACTAGGTTATGTCTGACTGCTTCCTTTGCACCTGAAGGTGGGTGGGAATACTCAGTGAACACACTGAAAAGTACTGAAGGCTTAAAGGAAGGCTTGCAATTGTGCAGTATCTGTGCCTGCGATTAATGGTGTGAGGTGAATGGTCAGTTCCAGGCAGCTCTCAAAGTCATCTTACTGGTGTTTCCCAGAGGGACTGCAGGCTGCCTTGACTTGGGATCATAAATAGCAAAAGACTATTGAGAATGTGCTCAGCAAGAACCACAGGCTCTGAGTTTCATCTGCTAAGGCAGTGTTGGAATTATACTTGGATGGGAGGAGAGCGGGAATGGCTCATACCTTGTTGTAGGCTGGCCCCTGGAGGGGCTGAGGGAAGGGCTGGCTCCATCCTGACACATGGCTGCTTTTCTGAGGACAAGAGCTCAGCTCCAGGGCACTGACTGCCTGGCCTCCCCTCACCTCTCACCTTTGGGTTCACAGACGGCACCCGGGGTTCACCGGCGGCTCTTCCGGAAAATGCACAACCTCATTTCAGCCTTCCAGAAACCCGACCAGGGCATTGTTACACCCCTGAAGCATCCGGTCGTCAACCATGCGAAAGCCAGGTGTTCCCCAGGTACCCATGGGGTGCAGGCAGCCTCGGCTGTGAGGGGCAGGGCCCTCCATGGGGGTGGAAATTTTGATCTAAATGAGCCAAAAATGTGACTCATTAGGGACTTCAACCTCATGAGAAAATCCATTTAAAAACATACATTCCTGAGTAATACATCAGAGGCAGATATTTGCCTTCCCCACTGCCATGGCTCTGGTAGGGGTGGGTCATCTGATCTGTTCTTTTTCATCCTTCCGTATTTCTGTGATTATTTTTCTCTAGGTAGAAATGACGGTCGTGACTACCTGCAGCCATCATGAAGACATTTCCCAGTGGAATAGCCCTAGCTCCCAGTAGTGCCTTCAGTCCTGCTCTAGAACAGCACAAGCTATGATAGTTAGTACAACTCTGTGAGTTTTCTTGTAACATTTGCTGAAATGTGTTTCATAATATTTCTCAAGCTCAAAGTTTAGAAGTGTTAGGTTTCAGAATGTTTTTTTTTTTTTTTTTTTTTTTTTTGTAAGAGATAAGACAAAAGCATCAACTATTAAATGGTGTCATATCTTTTTTTCTTTTTTGCAGTTCTAAGTGCAAAATGTTTTCTATTCTCAAGACTAGTCGCTCTATTTTACATAAACTGACTTTCGACTCTTCTGTGCTTTCTTCTGTTAGGCATTTATGGACAAGACCCCTTTTGTAGGCTTACGAAAATTGTTTATATCGAGTATCCTTTCCTTGAACACAGACTTGGTGTCTGTGTGACTGTCATACAGTTCCAAAAGGTATTCCAGACATGGCCTCGGGAGAATCCCCACTAGCTGATTTCCCATCATATCAGGCTCTCTGCAATCCAACCGAAACACTCAGTGCCTCCACGTACAAAATTTCTAATTTGCACAAAGAATTGAAAGCTCAAGTAATGTTCTGAGTAAATGAGAACAATTGCCAGTGGAGAACCTCATACCTTTTATTTTCTCTACTTGAAAAAATCCCCACCACATGTAATTAAAAAGAAATATATATATGTATATGTATTTACACACTGTTTACTTTCATTTCACTGTCATGTGTTTTAGTAAGTTGCTGCTGGGCTCCTGTAGGAGAGACTTACACCTGGAGGACTTGTTGGCTTGCAGGGTTAGCACTGGGGTGCTGGAGCACTTGGCTGCTTGACTTGGTGAGCTGCCTGGGCTGGCCAGCAGTGGGGAACACTTCCCAACAGACTGGATGTGCTGCAGCCCTCTTGGTTTGTGTTCTGTTACTGTTTCACCAGCAGAAATGGGCCTATCACAAAAGCACTCCCTTCAAAGCACACAGCTAATGTTGAGTGCAAATGGGTGGAAAAAATAACCCCCCAAAACAAACAATGTCTATAAATCTGCAAAGAAGGACATGGTGTCCTGGTGGACAACAGGGTGGCCATGAGTCAGCAGTGTGCTCTGGCAGCCAAGAAGGCCAACGGGACCCTAGAGTGCATTACAGAGAGCATGGCCAGCAGGGCGAGGGAGGTGATCCTCCCCCTCTGCTCTGCCCTGGTGAGGTCACATCTGGAATGCTGTGTCCAGTTCTCCTTGGTTCAAAAAAGACAGGGATCTACCTAGAAGGAGTCCAGAAGAGGGCCTGAAAGATAATGAAGGGCCTGAAGCATCTCTCGTATGAGGAAAAGTTGAGAGATCTGGGGCTGTTCAGCCTGGGGAAAAGACAACTGAAGGGGGATCTTATTAATGTTTATAAATATGTAAAGGGAGGTGGGAGGCAAATGGATGAAGACAGGCTCTTCTTGATGATGTGTGGCAACAGGACAAGGAGTAATGGCCTAGAACTTGAATGTAGGAAGAAACACGTGGAAGTAATGGTGACAGAACACTGGAACTGGTTGCCCAGAGAGATGGTGGAGTCTCCTTCCATGGAGGAGGTCATGTTGCTTAAATATCTAATGCTTGAATGTTTCATGCCTGTACTTCCAATTTCTTCTGCACAGCTTGGGAAGCTGGAAATTTCTGAGAAGATGTAGTGAGCTTTTCCAAAACCACCAGGCTGCAGGCTTAGGAGAGCAGGACAGATCAAATCCCACCAGAATGGGCCAAGCTGTGAACTAGGGGAATGGGAAGAGGCAGGGCTGCAGCCGTCTTTGTAGCATCAGGCTACACTGGGGGGGCATCACCCAATCCTTCTATCAAGCAGGCAGACAGAATTTCTTAATCCATTTAGTTGTCTTGTCCCAGATTCTGGCTTGCTGTCACTTCACTGAAAAGGAAACAGTGAAGAGTTAAATGGGCGGCAAGAACAGGCACTCGGCAAGGTTCAGCACCTTGAAGCAGCATTTTAGTTTGGATTTGATAAGGCTGCAAGTTTTATCTTTTATTTTATTTTGTTCCTATAAGTGGCCGGGTGTGTATGAAAGAGAATGAGAGAGAGAGAGAAAGTGCAGCAATAAAACATTCAACATGAAGCAGAAAATGCTCCTTGTAAACCCTCAATGGGAGTAAATGCAATAAATAAACAGCTGTGTGATAACAGGAAGCGGTGGACAATGCAGTTGCAAATTTGTGACGATTGCTGTTCATTACTCAATGTCTGTCTAAATTAAGGCCACATTTCATATGTAGTGAAATGTCCTGCCTCCCCACCCCTCCCCTTTGCATTGTATTTTACTCTCTGTGTACGTTTTGCTCCATGTCTCCCTGCTACTTATGCTGATTGGTTGAAGCAAGGGTCTTGTTTTCATACACTGCCATACAGTGACAGATTCAGCATGATTTACTCCTTAATAAAATATTTAAAAGCTGTTTTTTTTGTTTTTTAATATTGTTAGATAATTCAGCAAACATCAGCAGTAGAGGCGCAGCGCTGAATGTTACCAGCTCAAACACAACATTCAGCACCAGCTGATTCTGGGGCTGTGCTCACTGAATCCTTCACCCCTTGTCTGTGCCTTAAAGGTTTCCCAGTTTGCTGCGTGTCTGTGGCGGATGCTCTGTGGCTGTTCCAGGTTTCTGCTCCTGCAAGCCTTCCTTCCTGGTGCAAACAGTCCTGGTGCGTGGCAGAGTGGGCTTACTGGGAGAGCACCTTTGCTTCTGGAGTGCTGTGCCTGAACCCTGGTTTAGGCTGGCTCTCTCAGGACAGAGGAACTAAGACAGGGTGTGCTGAGAAGTGGTGCCTGTAAATGACTGCGCCATGGTGATAAGCATGGTGCTAAGCAATGTGCATGAGGGCTGCTCCCTATAGAAACGTCCTGTTGACTTCGAGTGCTGCATGGTGCAAACCCTGTGGTGCAGTGAGTTGAGGATAACTGCTTTGACTATGGGTGACTCCAGAAGACCAATGTTAATTTTAAAAATAGATAAAATAGGCCAGAAGTTGGCATTTTAGAGCTAAAGCTGAGAACACTGTATATAAGTTATTAAGATAGAGTCTTGATTGTGTTGTTTCTTTTGGGTTTCCTCAAATCTGGAATTCCTATACTCTAGAGCACCTCTTGTTTGAAGACAGGTAGAGGAAGCTGGGGTTGTTCAGTCCGGAGAAGGCTCAGTGGAGACTTCATTGCAGCCTTCCAGTGCTTAAAGGGAGCTTGTAAACAGGAAGGAGAATGACTTTTTATGTGATGGTGATCACAAAAAGGGGAATGGTTTTAAACTAGATGATGGGAGATTTAGATCAGAAGTAAGGAGGAAATTTGCCAGCCAAGGAGTGATGAGTCCCTGACATAACTGCCCAGAGAGCTGTGGATGCCCCATTCCTGGAGGTACCCAAGGCCAGATTGGATATCAGCCTGATTTGGAGGGATGTGTCCCTGCCCACAGCATGGGATGGAACTGGATTATCTTTAAGGTCTTTTCCAACCCAAGCCAGCCTGTGATTCTGTGCTTTTATGATGCTGTGATTAAACAAGCTGCAGACAGTCAGAGAAGCTCATGCTATCAATGACAAAAGAAGCTGGTATTTCATTATAGGAACATTAACATGGCAACTACACAGATTTCATGCATTTACTTTGATATGAAGAGCTACAGGTCCTTTTAGAGAAGCAGCGTGGGCAGGGCTTCATCAAAAAACATCTGTGTCCTTTTGTTCCTTTCTCCAGCCCCTCTGGGCTCAGCAGAACTGACAGCCCTGTCCCCACCAGCCCTGGAGCTCCTTCTCCTCCCACTTGCCATTTGAGCCCTGGCTCTGCTGCTGCCTTGGTGGATCCACCAGAGGACCCTGTGTCCTGGCCCTCCCATGCACTCTCCTACCCAGCACAGGCGATGCTGCTGCTGGTCCCAAACAGTGCTGCCTTTACCTCAGCCAGTCCCTCCCCTGCTCCCTGGCTGTGGCTGTGACAGGCCTTCTGCAGCAATAGATCGATATCCCAGGCCATTTAAAAATTCCTTTCTTACTACAGCATCCTTTTGGCCTCCCTGCCTCCTCATCCACCCAACACAGTCCTCGTGCTGGGTAAGCACGCAGCCCAAGCTGCTCCCATCAGCTTTCTACCACGTACCCCTTCCTTCAGCTTTAAATGCTCCTTCTGCTCCTCCGCTTCACTCTCTCCTCCTCTCTGCTGCATGTGCTGTTTTTTTAAATTCTTTTCTTGCACAGACTCACACAGTCGTTCATCAGCACCTGTTTGAAGCAGGCTGGGAAATCAGATCTACTGAACGTACAGATGCTTCATCCATGCTGCTCATCCCTTAGCACCACTGCCTTCACCCACTCAAAGTGCAAAGGCACAGAGCAGCACGCCTTTTCACTCTCACACTTGCTCTGATAAGTGTAAGAATCTGTGCACAGAAACAAGCTGTGGACCAGCATGTAGTGCCACAAGAGTTGTACACATGAACCCTGAATCAGAAGTATACTTCAACACTGCCAGCAAACCCACTGCGACATTCACACTGAGAAGTACTGTTTGAGGACCTCACTTTGATGTACGGAAGCACTTCTTATGACACAATCAGTAAAATCCCCAAGGCGTGGTTTAAAATAAGACAACCTCACATGCTGTCAGTTTGCACCTTTATTTTTTAAAAATGAAATAGTCAAAGTACTTTCTTTTTCAAATATCGACACATAATATATTAACTTTTAATATTTACAGCGTGTTGCTGGGATGTTCTTGTAGAAAATGCATGCTTCTGGTCTGAAACCCAGAGCAAAATGCATCAGACCATGTAACTGCAGCCATGTAACATAACGTGTACAGTATCCAGTCACTATTCAGCACAGGAGTTAGAGCAGGAATAAAAAATTGGGATCTATTGTTTCCTAGCAACAAGGCTGAGGCCGTTATAACACAATTTCTGTAAGATCAGAACCTCTAACTGGTGTCGGACAGAAACCGAAGATCTTGGCATACATTGTAAACATTTTACTGTTCATGAGAAAGCGAAAAAGGAACGTTACTTTGACATATATTGTATGCTATGCTTCTCTTCTCTTTTATCGACACTTCTGCCTGAAGAGTATGAAGACTTAATGTGTTATCATGGTTCATACAAGTAAAATACTGTCAAGGACACAATCTGATATACTAACATTTATTAAAAGGCTAAAGTCCACCACGAGATCTAAGGAAAAACTGGGAACTGCCGAACGCGTTTCCTTAGACAAGGAATGGCTGGTGGCCAACGTATGGGCGCGTGCCCGATGCCACCGCCCCGTTCCTGCTGAGCCGTGGTTCTCCTCACAGCCGGGACGCTTGTGACCTGGTGATGGTTTGTGTCAAGGACAGCTTAAATAACAGTCAGTGTTTGTCGGGAAACCCTCGCGGCCGGCGGTGTCGGCTGTGCTCCCCGCAGCAACCAGCACCTCGGCAGGACCCTGCCCTTCCGCCTTCGTTCAGCTCCAAGTGCAGCCCCTCTGCCGCCTCTTTCACCCCGAGCTCTGTGCCTTCCCACAGCACCGAGCAGCGCCTGGACAGACGGACGGACAGCCCTGAGGACGCCAGCAGTGAGCGCCCGGAGCAGCACCCGCTGCGGCAAGGAGAGGCTGTGCCTGGTGGGTGCAGCTGGGAGGGCACTGCGGAGCTCGGCCTGAACAGCCGGCACATGAGTACCGAGTTGCACATCGACCAGTTCATATATAGGTATTTGGCTATGTTCTACATATAGAGCTATATATATATTTATACCTTTGAAATGTTGTAGGCTGGCTAAATAAATAGGAACGCAAAGGAAACGTTACTCGTACACACTATTGGTTTGGCTGTCATAAAAAATATACAGCACGTATCTCTCATGGTAGGTACTTGGCTACAGGATAGTGTGCAATAGTGGGTCTTATCTTTTGTTTTATTTTGTTATTTTATAGTTTTATTTATTTTTTCCTTTTGCAGAACCTTGTTTGCAGTGCAGAACGCTAGCATCAAATAATCTGATTTAAAGAACGATACACATTTCCATGCACTTATTTTTCCTTTCTTTACTTTTACTCATTTGGGTCTCTAGGTGATAGTGCAAAATTAAAAAAGCAAGAAAAAAAGGAAAACTGCAAAAAGAAACCAAAACAAAACCCAGTGCTCAGAAATTATTCTAGCTACTAGAAGAAGAAAATGGAGACTGAACTGTTCCCTGCCTCCATCTGAGGTTGTTCATGGACACAGTGGCCCACAGCTGTTTGCTGTAGCTGCAGTTCTCACAAATCACTGCTGGCCCATGTGGTGCTACGACTTCAGCCCCCAGTGCTCATTCATTAATGAATGCTCTTTAGCACTGCCAACTCAACATGACTCTTCTTTTTAGTTTCCTGAATTTCTGAAACTGCTTTGATAAAGGCATTTTTTCCTGTTCTAACAGGGCCGAGTAATACCACCAGATTCTTCATTCATCCAGATTCTTGTAAGAAATACTATTCAGAAAGATACCTTAGACTGTCCACCCAGGAACTGGGAAAATGCCAAACCTAGTCTTAGAGACAAACTTGTAACACTTCCCACTCTTTGACCTTTTGGCATAATCTGAGAACAACAGTAATCAAGGCAGTATTAAAAAACACAGCTGTAGGTAATACAAAGTGCATTTCCTGCATATAATACAAATATAACTTTAAGAAACTAAAGGCACAAGCTAACTAAATAGGTATTACATACTAGAAATGCACAGTTCAAGGTAAGTCTAATAGCTTCAAAAATTTGTTTATAATGGATATTTAAAGCAGTTTGAAAATGATACGTCATTATTGAATTGCAAAAAAGTATAATTGCTTAAAATATAAGTAAAATAGACTCTAATATTTGACATCTTGGATCAGTGATAAAATACATCATCACGTTTATGAATGCACTCTCTATATACAATTCATAAATTATTTTTCCATTGATTAAAAGCATATTAGAGGCTCAAGGATTCAAAGGTCCATTTTTAGGCTGGTGTGGAGGTATTCAAATTCTCCATGATTTTATGGAAAATTGTGTCAAACGGAACTGCTGTTGGCAGCTCCAAATCCTGTACAACAGTTAATGATGAGCCTGAGCAAAATGTGTTTTGGTCCACGGGTCCCCCTGGCTGGGATGGAGGGTGGTCAATGGGCCAGGATCTGCTCAGCCTGACCCCGAACCTCTGAGCCGGACTCTGCACCCCTAGAGCTGCTCTGGCAGCAGAAGGAGTAGAGGGAGTCTGTGCAAGGCTGAGACCCAGAGGGTCCAGGTCTCAGGTTCCAGTTCAGGCTCATCCCTAACTTTGGTACAATCTGCTCCACCTGCCCAAAAACAAGGTGAAAAAAATGAAAATTTGAAAGGGAAGAAAGACAAAGAAAGCACTTTGTTGGCTTCGGGAAATGTGAGCAGAAATTGCTTCAATATATTCCTTATGTCTGTTTTGAAAGAAATGTGCAATAACATCACTGTTACAGATACACAGGTTCTATAACAAGACTTCTAGCTCTTTTGGAAAGTCGGCAAAGGAAATGTGCTTACCCAGCCTCTCTCCCAGGCACCCTCCCCCTGCCCATGATAATCAGGTCTGTTAAAATGACAAGTGAAAAGAAGGATCTCCTACTCTGCTATGAGAGAACTGTGCCAGCAGCGCATGATACCTTGGGAAATAAAAGTTTCTGCCCATGCAATATAATGCTTTTCTATGTGCTCTAGATATTGAGCTGAAAAGTGAAGAATCATCCCCGAAATGTTCTACATTTATCAACATATGTACTACCCACACTTAGGTTCATCAACTCCCAACCCACCAATCTTCTTCACACTCGGAATAATGATCAATACAGTGGGATTAGCAATTTGAGATGAAAATAACATGATGCCTAAACCCAACACCACCACAATTTCCAAATGATGTGTGAAAAGAAGGTCCTGGCCCAAGGACTACAGGCAGGACTGATCCCGTGCGGCTGCTCAGTGCTGCACCGCGCGGACCCTCCTGGCTGAATAGTGAAGGTTGTCCCAAAAGCACTGAGCTAAAGCCCATTCTGGAGCCTGCTGATGTTGGTGGGAGGCTCGTGCTGACTCGTTGCTCACCATGTGCTGTTCTGGCCGACCCTGGAACCTGGCTGAGCCCCAGTCGTGCAGGGCAAGCCCTCACCCCCTGCCAGATCTGCAGCTCCACGTGTGCTGCCTGGACTCCACAACCAGTGCCAGGGGAATTCTTGGGGAAGAGGCCCCTGAACGCAGATGCAGACACAACGTGGCGTTCCTCACCGAGTGAGAGAGAGGCAGCTATGGCCCGGCAAAGACAAAGCTCATGTGGGGCAGCCTTTAAGCGCTGCATCCAATAAAAGTACTTACGTACTGTATCTAATAAAAGTTGGGTTAGAAAATCCCATAGATCACAGTTGTGACAAATGACATGTGCAGGGTTGGTGAGCAACTACAAAGTTTCCGTACACAGTCTGGTTTTTGAATGCAATCCCTTCAACCTATGGGAGATCTCAATGGGATAAAACTACCCAGTAAGCATAGGTTGCAGAATCAGGCTCTGTAACCTCTTAAATAACTGGTGAATTATTAAACCACCACCAACAAAAAAAGAAAAAGTAGTGTTTCTTTAGAAGAAGACAGAGCATGCTGCGCTCACACCTGCCCTGCGCGCTCTGCTTCTGAAAGGTTTGAATACTGCCACACAAGAACTAAAAATCTTCACTGTAATCTCTCGAAGAGTTAAACGAACAATATTAAAATACCATCTTCTGTCACATTTAAAGGCAGTTGGATATGTTTTTTCCTCTATATTTATATATACAGAGTTCTGATCTAGAAAAACCAATACAATAAACCATTTTACGTTTAAAAACAGGCAGTCTTTGGTGACGCAAAGGCAGAGATTTTCTTTGTTACCTTCTGCCTATTTCACTCTGTCTCATAAAGTGAATATTATTGGCACTGTCAGAAAGTTCGAGATACTGCTCCACTGACAAAACAAAATATCCATCGTAACCTTGTACCCGCCCAGTGTTTAGAAGCTGCTGTTTCTCTCCATCTGTCCATGCCCTAATCCCCTCTTCCCCTTCCTGCAGCCGTCTCTGCTCCTTAGTCCAGGCCTGAGCCACAGCTCTCTGCCTGGCTACCTCTAGGACATGGTTCTTTTCCTCTTCCACGGTCGTTCCGTAGCGAACGTTAAAGCACAGTGCGCCGTGCTGCAGCTGTATGTCAGCGAAGCGTCTAGTCCTCCCATTGATCACGGAAGTCATTTGCGACACTGTGACATTCACACCGTTCTCCAGGATGCGTCGTCCTCCAGTGTTGCCAATTAGGGCCAAATCTTCTTCCAGAGACCCCAGCTTGATGAAGTAATGCGTGTCCCGGCCCTCTATGGTGAAGTGTAGGTTCTCCAGATAGTGAGCGTTGTTGAGTATGGCAGCGATGCGCCGGCTGTCCTCGTTGGCCACACCAATAATGTCCGCTGTGACGATGCCATCCTTGATAGCAAATTTGATGCCTTTTCCAAACACTGAAGGAATAGCTGCAAACCTCGGTTGCTTCACTCCCTCGTAGCACTTGCCATCACTATACCTGGGGGTCATAGGAAGTTGATCCAAGGATATAAAGTTTCGGAGTTGCTTCTGTAGCTCACACTGAATACCAAGGATAGTCTGGAAAAGAAAACACCAACAAAGTTTGCAGGAGAGAAATCTCACAGTCTCACAGTCCCTACCAGTATCTTAACTGCTTAAAATGGATTTGCAATTAATTTGCAAACCGTCGTACATATCTGTAGAGCCTGGAAGTACGCACAGGCTTTCTAATTACCAAAGGTACTACTTTATATCCCTTGGACTCTTCGGTTTCTAGAAAACAAAAGGAAAACGTATTTATCACAAATGCTATTCTCATATTTATCTTCCCTTTTTTTTTTTCCTCTCCCCTGTTGTCCTCTAACAGCTGGTCTTTTGAATTGTAGGCATGGGAAAATCTGAACTCAAATCTGTACTCTCACGCAATTCTAAGCCAATCACTTGTTCATTATATCTTCTGTAAAGTAGCACTAACAGTTTATATAGCCCATTCTTTAGGGAAAGCAGGCTGTGAAGGTCTCAAGATGCTAGAACAATAGGAGCCAGGTAGGCACATCAGATCTGTAGTTTCCCCCCCCCCCACCGTGGTGCAGAAGAAAATCTCCCTCCAGCTGTCTATTTGTCTGTCAACACAATATATATCATTATACTCTTCTTGTGCCTCTGTTATAGCTTCTTCAATATCTCAGTGCCAATTTTGCATGAAAATGCTCCATGGACATGACCCTCCATCCTTCTGCACTCTATGTGGTCATCTATGCATGGGAAAAGAAGTGTATTCAATGCTGCTGCCATGAACTCACAACATTTTATGCTTCCTTTTCCTGGCTGGATAAGAGAAAGGCATCTATTCTACCTCTTCTATGTAAAATTATCTTTCTTTGTTAACAGATGCTCTTATGATTAAATGCAAAACATGAACACCTGCTCAGAACATCAGTAGCTGGCCCTTACAGTGATTGCTGGACCCTGTGAGCTGCTGCATAGCACTTCTTCAGTGAAAATTAGCCCTGGAGTTTTACAGACCCTCCACAAACCTACAGTAACATTACTATTTTCCTGCAAGAACTATGCAGAGGAGAAAATTTGTACAGTTGTTTGTATTCTTAGTGATTTTGCACCTCTTGAGGCATCTTTACTAAAAGATAACAGTTGTTTTAATTCTTAAATTCCATAAAATTCTCGCAGTTCATTCAATTTGTGCATGCTTTTATCCATTTGCTGAAAAGTTTCTTCACTGTGTGCCTAAAAGCTTCTCATTAAAACTGTCCTCCACTTGATGCCAGTAAATAATGTGACAACATGAAGGCTTCTAGTGTAGTTAGACTATTATTTGCCTTGTCAATCAAGCAAAAAATACAGCCGCATTGTTTCCTTGGTCTCCAGCATTTTCTAATCAAATTGCTTACTTTAGAAACAGAAGCAATTGAACAGAGTGTTTGCTAACCTTTCCAGGATCCCACTCCTGGGTTTTTGTTTGAAGCTGCAGAAGTTCATATGTTGTCTCCAAAGCTTCGATCTCTGGTTTTGGAAACCCAGGCAGTACATTGTGCAACTGAAAACCAAATAGCTCTAGCCAACTTCCAATGTCTACAAAACAAACAAACAAGAAAAAGGGATTCTGGAAATGAGGCATGTAAATCCTAGAAATCGTCAGTGTAGTTTGCAGAAATCCAAGCTATGCAGAAAAATGATTTCACGTCAGTTTGTTTTCAATACTGGTTACAGCATTTGTTGTAGGAAAGAAATCATATGATTATAAAGCATGGCAATAATCAAATGAATAGTGTACCTACTTTCTATTTATAATGGAAAAAAACTTACATTTTCTTCCCCTTATTTTAGCATTTAAAAAAGCAGCAGACACAACTATTAATTATTTTAATGATTACCAAAAAGACTAAAAAAACAGATAAAGCTCTGTAAGTTGTTGGCTACCAAAGGAATACAGTAGAGCCAAATACTAACTTCTTAGATGTCTGCAAAGGATTTCTGGAATCTTGAATCCATACCAGAATCTTACCAAAGGCTGTATTGTCATGAGAAATATGTTACTTTTACCTGTTGTATACTTAGCAACATCTTGGATCCTGCCAACTGGGTAGTTGTTTTCAAATGAGTAGAGATTGAACGGTTGTGGGACAGCATTCAGGTGTTTCCATATGTGATGGTTTGGTGTCGTCCACCGACCAGCGATAACATCGTAATCCCGCTGACCCAGATGAACCAATTTGGTGAGAGGATCATAGAGCCCTCCATGGAAACCAATGACAACCTGGAAATCTGGATTAGTGTCCTGGTAGATCTCTCCATATGGGGTGTACAAAATTTCTTTTATGACTTGGCCCCGACTGCTAAATACAGCTAGAGGTGTTCCAGTGTTATCACAAGCAACATAATATTCTTCTCCACTGCTTAATTCCATTGCAATGAGATGACCTTGAAGATCATAATACAGAGATGTTATTTCTGAGCTGCTATGATTGTACAAGTGAGTAACTCGTATTGGGTTGGAGAGATCAGCATAAAAGAACTGCAGGTGTTGTCCCAGGCTTGATTTGCTTGCAACTCGTCTTCCAAGACCATCATAACAGTACTGAACAGTCCAGCCAGACACTTTGTTGTATGCTTTGTTCAGCAGACCATTAGAGTTGTACTCGAAGATCTCATTGCCTCTTTGCCTGAGAAAACCATCTTCATCCATTTTATATTGAATTTCTCCAAGTCTGGTAATGCGATCTCTAAGGTCGTATCTCAGAGGAGTGAGGCGTGCACTGTTTCCATGGCTCAGCAAGTTGATGTTGCCGTTAAGGTCGTAGCTGTAGCGCCACTGGGTTTTATCATTCACAGACACAGTCTGAAGCTGACCGTCAGCATCATACTCATAAAAATACCGTGTGATATTGGCATCTACACCAACGCGGATATCACAGATCACCATACGGCCCATATTATCATACTGGATGGTCATCCAGTAAGCAATTGACTTGAGAATTTCATACTGAACTTCAATCACCTGGCCATTGGCACTAAAAATTTTGGTATGTTTCATCACAGTGGTGGTTATAACTTGATTTAAATCATAATTAATGACACTGAATTTCCCAAATTGTTCAGTCCTGCCAGAGACATCAACGTAACGGTACAGATCGATGGGCAGAGGCGTCTCGTTTATCATGGCCTGCATACTTGTGACACGGAAATTGTTGTAACTGTAGTCAAACCTGGCATTTACGAGCCCTTCTTCACTAAACCTGAAGATCTGGCGACCGATAAGTGGACCTGTCCACAGCAAACAGGAGAAAGAGGAAAAGCAAGAAGAGAAATGAATTACGTCTATAGAACGCTTAACCCACAGAACTGTCACAGACAAGCTACGAACTCAAATAAGCCCTTGAGCCTTATTGCTATTTGACTGTCTCAGACAGTACCACTAACTATGTTAGATTATTCTCTCACAAACTTTTATTAATGTTAGCTCTATGGAATATTTATATTTTATTAACATTTGTTTAAATGAATGCTTTTTTATTCATAATTATGATTTCTATTTACTTGCAAGATAATTCTATACTGAATTTATTTTCCATGGTGATTTCCTTCCTTATATGAACAGTTCTTTTGAATTTATGTTACGTTATGGTATAAACAGGGAAACTTGAAAATGCAATCAATAAAACAACTTGATTTAGTATTTAGCAAATATCCACACAGTGGAATAAAAACAATCAAACACTGTAAGAGCTATTCCAAACCAAGTAATAAAAAGAAAACTGTATTTCAAATGGGGCAGCTATATATGCCTGTGGACACAGACATAGACACACACACACACACACACATTTTTCTATTGAAACATAAAAAATGAGAACTTGTAGACATAAAAATAATGGAATTTCATGACAGGTAAGTGCAGAATCGGGGCAAAAAAATTTAGCAAAGTAGTTATAGCTAGACAAACCTGTTTGCCTGTATCTGATGGTGCAGATGAAGCCATCATGCATTAAGTGTATGGTTTTAATAACGCCAGAGGATTCCTCGTAGGTAAACGTGACTTGAGTAGTGTCATAAAGAATCTCAGAAAGTCGAGACTGTTTGGAGTACTTATAGAGGACTCTGCGTCCCGTCCCAGGATACAGCGTTTGCAGAAGCCGTCCATCTCTGGTGACGTCCTGTATGAAAGCCGCACCACTGTCCGGCGGGGTGTAGATGTTGCGATAGTACCCAACAGAGAGCATGGTCTGCAAGGCATGGCGTACCATGCTGGGCATGGTGACCGACAGCAGGTAGTCTGACTGGTCATATTCAAAGATGTAGCGGCGCTGGCTGTGCAACAGGAGCATCACAGACTGCAATCAGACAGGAATGGCGGTGTAAGAGGCTGATGGAGCACTTTATTATTCATCAACTATCTGCTCTTGTAGGTTGCTCTTACTGTCTGTTTAACCCCAGGTCGAGCTTTCAGCTCCAGCAGACCTGGCCAGCAAGGTGACGTGGAACAGAAGGAGAATGATAATAGGGCTAGAGGTAAGGACCCCCAAACTGGAAGGCAGATGTGGCTCTCACTAGCATTTCAGCCTCATGCTGACTTGCTGCACTACTTTGAAATATTTAGGTCAGCCTCTAAGGAAACTCCAACAGAGGGGACCTCACTCCTAGGTAGAGCAGCTGTACCAGCAGATGTTTCTGCAGGAGGTGGAAAGGAGAAACGTTCAGTGTTGTGTACGTGGTGTTTAGCTTTTACTGGAACTGTGCACAGTTCTAGCCCAGCCCTACCCCTTTTTTGTACATCCTCACACTGTCTCACAGCATGCACGCTAACTCTGCTCACACAGATGGATGAAAATGGACTGCAAGTTCTTTGGTGTGACTACTTCTGTCTCTGTTCTTGTTTTTTTTTTTTTTTTTTTTTTTTTAAATATATACAAAGATTAGGTCCCCAGCCTGCAGTAAGGCACTGGCTGAACTCTCTCCTAGCACCGATGTGATGCTGCTCTCTATATACTGCTCCCATGCCTGTTTTTAAGCTGTCTGCCATTGACAGGATATGAATAACAAGATCAGAAACATCACTAATATAACTTTAGTGCCCCTCTGTGTCATTTTACAGCACTTTGAGGCTTTTCCACTTTTGTCCAGAATAATGAAAAGACTGTCGGTAGAATGGCTGGAGACTGAGTATCTTGTCTGGCTTATTAGGGGACACTATAAAGAGAAAACAAAATAATTCCCTAATCATATTGTAGTAGATTTTTCAACTATTTGCACAGACGGGGTTCTGATTGTTTTAAAGAGTTTTGGAGGCGGACTCTCCGTGAAACATCTCTCAAAACTGTCACTTTGCCAAAGCAGCCAGAGCCTGGTCAGCCGCACAGACTGGTGCCACATTGAGTCCAAGAGCCGCTGGCAGCTCCTCGCGGCTCTGCTGGGAACAGGCAACTGCTGGGCACGGCCACTAGATGTCATTTGTGCCCAACACATGCACGCAGCCCTCGGCCAGCTCCCACGGCAGCGAGCGGCAGGATTTGGGAAGGGATCTCGGAGTGAGCAGAGATTTGGGAACGCCATTGGCTAATTGAGGAAAGTGACCCAAAGAAGGGAAAGTGAGAATGATGTACAGGGCCACCATCACGGAGCCTTTGAGAACACAGATCGCTGGGACCTGGGAGGTGGAAATCTTTGTGAAGATACGTAATTAACTCATCAGGTGCTAATAAATGGGAAAGTAAATAAACAGGCGTTGGAAGAGATCTGTATAATTGATTTTTTGATAAAAGGAATTATTGGTTCTTATGAGGTTTCAGACAACATTTAGTAATCATTACTTAATTAACACAATGAGCTATTGACTTTAATGGGCCACAAAATTATATCTCCATGTCTAATTCTGACAATGAATTCATCTTCCTTTGGCACGAGGAACAAATTGTGATGGAAGTACATTAAATAGCTGGGAGATTATGTCCATGGTGTGTATGACTTTCAATAATTTAATGACAAGTTACAGCATAAATCAGGACTGCTGCTACCTAGGCCTGTAAGCTTCTGTCATTTGCTTCGACGTGATCAGGATCTGTCCACTTGTGCAGAACTCCAAAATGACAGCTTTAAGTCCTACGACTTTATTTATCAGCTCGTCATAAACTATGAGCAGACAAAGTAGTTGAGAAGATAAAAAAAAAACATACATCTTTCCAAAATTACGGTCCATTAGGCCCAAAGAAAAAATAAGAGATTCCTCCAAAAGGCATGTTGCCCAAATATTTGGAGGCTGCACAAATGCCTGTTTACTTGCAATTTGCAGAGCATACAGACAAAAGGAGCCCTGACAAATTTATCTGAACCGAACTTCTGAAGCTTCCAGGGTTTGCCAATCTTGTTAACAAGTGCGAGAACCATACTGCATGCAGACAAAGAAAGAATCACATTTTTATGCATCTTTTTTTTTTTTTTTCTTTCCTCTGGGTTAGATATAAGTTTTTTTTTTTTTTTTTTTTTTTTGAGGATCAGGCTTAAATACATTCAAAATAAGTACAGCAAAGTTTATCTTAAAAGTACACATTTGGAACTTTTTAATATATAAATAACTTCAAAGTCATTGGATTTCTTGCGTGTAACATCCGCTATCAGTTTTACCTCACCTGCCCCTTTCTATCCATTCCCTGTGGTAAACAGGTTCAGAAAACCGTTCCGCAAATTCAGAATATATCAAATAGTCTGAGATGCTGCCATTCAAAATAAAAAAGTTTTGAAGGACACCGAATATAATCTCACAGCGAGATGTGAAAGCTTTCAAAATACAGATTTTTGGATTTGAGAGACAAAACGATTCTGAATGAGATGCTGCTACTGACGAATGTGATGCTGTTCTTCCTAAGACTGTACAGCATTTATTCCCCCATTTCATGACTATTACCTACAGTCATAAATGAAAATTACAACACTCAGGCAGTTTAGACATGAAGTCACTATAAAGGCATGGCAATAACTCATTTTGTATTAGTTTATGTTTTTTTCCCCATAATGGGCATCATAAATACTAAAGTAATCCTTCTGTTGGCAGGATCCGTCCCTTTTTGACAGCACTGAACAGGTGCTAGCTTGCCCTCACCGCTGTGGAATTCTGACTTAAGCGAGCTGTGTTTGTTGGGAGGAAACAATTCCACTTCAATGACTTTTTTTTGACTACGTCACACAGAGCAGCAATGCGTTTTTCATCAGAGAGAGTGTCCTTTGTGCTTGGACAGAGATGAGGAAGCCCTTTTACCAACTGATTAAACAAACCTGAGGTGCTGATAACTTTCTTCTGAACTCATCTATGGCAGACTCGAAAGGATGACACATAAGTCTGAGAGTCTTTGTTTTGGTATGCATTTTCTGTAAGTCTTATATCCTATTGCAAGAGAGAAAATACTAACATAGCTCACAATATGGTACCTGTATCAAAACAAACATTCTTGTGTTGGTACAACAACCCACTTACCTTTTCTAAGTACGTGTAACTCCATATTTTGCCATCTGCCCATGTTCTGGAAATGATGTTTCCGCTTGGATCATACTCCATTTTCTCAGTCCAGGTTCCTCTTTGGATATAGGTCACTAATCCAGAGTGGGAATAAGTGATGTTAACCTCATTGTATTTGCTGATGGGTGACCACAGAACTGGCCGCCCTGTCTGGTCATACATAATCCGAAGAGTGAATTTTCGATGATCATCATAGATCTTTCCAGTTCTGGTTACATGATCAAAATCAATGGAGAGCAGATTTCTATTGTGGGCCTAAAAACAAAGATAGAGGAAGAAGATGATATACCTTAATTCCAGATGACGGAAACATTTCTGCTTCGGCTCTAATCAGAACAGGCAATGCTTTAACGGAATGATTGACAACATAGGGCACACTAAAGACAAGAAAACAGAAAAACGTTCAGGTGAGAAACAGGAGGACCAAGAAACAAAATGCTGCTTGCGTTCAGTGTTACATATCACACTGCAGAATGCTTCCTATTTCCATATGCTCAGCTTTCTTTTCCTAAGCTTTTCAGCGCTCATCTCTCCTACAGAGTGTGTGATACCAGCCAAAGATGCGTAGTTAAGCCCACAAATTAACAAACCTCTTCTAACTCACCTCCTCTATCCTAAGCTCCACTAGTGCAGTGGGTCAGCTGCTGCTCTGGAATAGCCCATCCAGGTCACATACCAATGTGAAAAAGGAAGAGCTGTGCTTTTGGCTCCCAAAGACCCTGCTCACTAGTGTCCTCACACTTCTTCACAAAAGCAGCCCACTCCCAAGGCTTGTGAAAGCTGGTGCCTTGGCAGGGGAACAGGCTGACTGCCTCGACCTGCTAGTGCTTGTGGTCCCACAGGGGGTGGCCCAATCAGAAATTAACTTAAAGACAAGCCAGACTTTTGAAGACAAAATATGTTTCTCTGGTGCTTCCATCTACCTCCTAACATCACTCAGCCACTGGGCAGTCACTATTCAACTTCATTTAATTCTGAATTAGAATTTGGGGAACCATAAAACACTGCTCGTTGACTTGTCATTTTCAGATCAATGCCCAATGAACTTATTGTATTAATTGACTGCTTTTTGCCTAATCACTTGTATTAATGTGTTCCGATTAATACATTTCTTACAGCTGAGATGATGTCAGCTCAGGTGCCAGAACTGCACAGCACAGTGCCTGCTTCTCCTTGAGAGCTGGAGGCGTTGCAGTAAATAGTTAAAAATATCTGTTTAATAATTCAAGCTGTGATGGTACAGTGGTTGTGGTTAGAATGAACATTATTTTCATTCCCTTTTCTGTTTTTAGATACAAAATAATTTGGAAATCTAGAAGAGGCAGGTGTTCTTTCTTCAACTACCATTCCTGTGGTTTTATATACACACATGTCTAACTTTAATACTGTTCATTTACAATAGCTGTAAAATACCTATACACCCCTGTAGACTGCTGTAACTATTACAATTTATGCTCTAATGATAGTTAAGGAGCCCAAGTAAAATGTGATGCTCAGTTCAACTATATTTGCTTGCATACAGTCTGTTGGATTAAGTTTATGTTAATATATTTCTTTGCAAACTTCTTGCAATTTCTGAAAAAACCCTCTTGGTGGTAAAATATCTGAAAAGCAAGCAGGAGATACACCCTGGCTTATGCTCATTTACTGTATATGTACATACTTATGTTCTTATTGCTAATATTATTATTATTATTGTAAAATGCAGCTAGGAGCAATGAAAGTCTTGAATACAAATTGCTTGCAATCTAATTTTCAGAGACAATATAATGAATAAGAATGGAAAACACGGAGAGACAGAATTAGCAGTGAAGAAAAACAGCAGCATCATTTAAAGGCTCACAGTTGAGCACTGGGAGGCCTGGGCACAGGTGCCCCATCCTTGGAAGCACCCAAGGTCAGGCTGGTCCAGGCTCTGAGCACCTGAGGGAGCTGTGGTGTCCCTGCTCATGGCAGAGAGGTTGGACCAGATGGCCTTTAAAGGTTCCTTCCAACTCGAAGGATTCTATGCTTCTATGATGATTCTGTGATAGTTAAAACAAGGTTTGGAGAGGCATCGTTGCTTCTTTTATATTCTGTATTTTATGTCGTTTGTGTTTACTTGCTTAGATTAGATTTAAGTTAAATTTAACACCCTTCTTAAGACAAGATGCAATGATACATGAGTAGCAGGCTGCATTTCAATGCTGTCATTGAAATGCTGATTTCAAATCCCAGTGGCTTCCTACAGATAACTCCTCCAGTGTACATGCAAGTCCATAAGGAGCCCCTGTGAGAGACTGGAGCTCATCTGTGCAGCTGCAAGCCGGTAGAATCTGGTTCCTGAAAGCAGTGTTGGGTCCAAATTCTCCAAATTCCAGCTGATGAAAATAGGGAGAAAATTCAGCTGATTTCAGTAGTCATGTTAGTAGTTCATAAAAAGATACATTACATATTTTTAAACATTTTTTGGCTCTATTTCTATTGATCTGGTTGCCAGAAATTTTGCAGTTGTGAACGATTGCATAAACGTTCACTTCTCTTGACATTCACTCTCAAATCTAAACTGTCTCAGATATGAAATCAGATGAGATGATTGTGTATTTCCTTGTCTGTGTCTGGACTTGAGTCAACGCAAACTGATACAGGGTGGCTGAGGATTTGACCTTACCATTACAACTTGCTGCAAGGCTGGTAAATAAAGGGAGATAATTTGCTAAATATGATAATAAACGTAGCTGTCAAAGCCTAAATTCAAAGGACTTTTGTCTTGAATTGAGGCCAATGAGTTACTTCCATTTTTGTTATTTAAAAAGTAAAAAAAAAAAAAAGTGAGACTGGCCAAGCATTCAATTTTCAATTTTGTAGATATTCAGTTATAAAACCTGGCCTGCATCCAACGCCAAGTTCCTCTAACTTATGCAAAAGACAGGAGGGAGCAGAGCTGAATTCTAATCAGTATATTACTATGCATCATGCTCATTGGTTTTAACAACAGCTCTGCTTCATTTTTAGAAGTCAATTAAAATAGCACTTCAATTGATAAAAAGAAGTCCTGCTAGATGAAGACTGATGTTAAAATGCCTGATTGTACATAGATTTATTATTAATATAAAATGCATACATGTCTACGGACTGTTTTATGTACTTTCATGAAGTGCCAGGGCAGGCAGTTCTGCACTTAAAGGAAAACTCTGATTAATTCCTGTTTCCAACATTGATTTAGATGCTGAGATAAAGTTAGCTGTCTTTCCCAGCGTTTCCATTAACATACTCATGTCTGCTTTAATTCTAGAGCAAGGAATATGTATCATGCAAAAAGAAAAAAAAAACAACAAAAAAAACCCAACCCTTTTTAAAACCCAACTTTTATCACATTATTGGGAATGTGCTAACAATGGCCTCTTTCCAAAACTTATTTTACACTAACAGTGTAACATGATTTCAAGATGGGTTTTAATTGTGGTTAGGAATTAAAAATGTTAGGAACTGGCAGAAAAGGAATAGCTTTCGTCTCTTCAACTAGGTCATCCTTTATCTCATCCCCAGTGACCTGCCTTCTAATTTACACCTCTTAGCATTCAAAGCCATTTGTTTCAGTGACAGTATCAGGACTGATCTTTAAGTGACATCTTTAAACTTGATTTCTATGCTTTTTTATTTCCCTAGAAAACTTTTCCATTGTACTGTTTTCTTCCCTTAACTGAGGGCTCCTGCAGATCTGTTCATTTCCACCGAGAACTAGTCCAATCCCCAGAGCTTTTCTTTACATTTATTTTCAAAGTTCAGCATAGTTCTTTTTGCCCTACATTGCAAGCTTTCTAACACACTTCCTATTGTGTCAGTCATGGCATATTAAGTGCTTAGCAACTTTTTTTTTCAAGCTGGAGCTCACTAGAACTCACTGGAAGTTTTCTGTAGGTCTCATCAGAACCTCATCCAGGATAAGGGCTGCTACTGATGCTACGTTTTTTTTCAACAACTACTCATGGAAAGGATTTGTCAACAGTGGGCCTTAAGTGCCTTTCAGTATTGGCTCACTGATTCAGACATTGTTCAGGTAGTTTTCCTCCTGATGTCCTGCACGTTTCCTCTAATAAACAAATTTCCAAGAAAGACAGCTGTCTGTGGGTATGTTCTGCTGCTCCTTTGCCTCCCTCTCCAGCCTCACTGTTCTGGCTTCTTTACACCATGCTGGCTCCCAACTCCACCAGCACCCCAAGCAAACATCTCAGTGCTAAAGCTGAACCCTGGGAATCACGTATTTAACCTCTCCTCCAAACTCTATTCATTGGCCATAGAAGCCTCAATAATCCATTTGTCTTCTGTGCTTATTTGCATGGTTAATCTTATGCGCAGAATACTTCTTTCTGCTATCAAATCCTCCTTTAATATGCTGTCCCACCAGATTCCTTCCAGCCTTTCTCTGACAGCCCTCAGACAGACAACTCTAGAGCTCGGTGCAGTCAGAGAAGGGGAAACAGCATAATGCAGGCAGCTGACTTTCTTTTGGGTAGGCGAGGGTAATGCATAACCCCCCATCATCTTGGGTAGGTATAAAAGGAAATCTGTAATTCACAGAAATAACAATGCAATGTTCAGCTGCTGCGATGCTAGTGGATATTTCTGGAAGGACCAAGCATACAAATGGCATACTGATATTGTTCTTACACCACAAACTTTCTCGCTGGAGGGAAGATGAAGGAGGAGGAAGAAAGAACACAAGTGCTTCTATGCACCAGCAGACTGACTCTGAGGCAGGTCCATCAGGTGAACTCTAGATAGCTTCAGGTTTTCAATATTTCACTGAACATTTTATGCCTCCAGCCAGAATCCATCTAATCCTGACCAGTTTCCTCCCTTTTTTGGCAAGCATTATTAAGGATCATGCAGAGGCAAGTGAAAATGAGATAAAAGAACTGGCAATCAATTTCAACAACAGAAAACATAAACTGCATAACAGGAAAGCTGTGCAGGATGAAGTACTTTGAAATGTAACGGTGATGAACAACTTGGCCCTGGCAGCATAAGCAGAACAGATGACTGGCAACGTCCTTTCCATTTAAGACTTTTATTCCGTAAGATCCTTAAAAAAGTATGTGCCATACAGTTACTTAAGCACAAAATCACACAGGAACCATTTGATTAGATAAAGTGAGCCACGGAGGCCACAGCTTCAATCCTGCCATCTTAACAACACACCTTTGCAATGACAATACATTCAGCAGCCTCCTTGGACAGGGAGCTGGGGATTAACACTAAGATAGGGCAGGTGCAGTCAGAGGATGGGCAAGAAACATCACACGAAGATTTTTCCCCACTTGCAAGACCCTTGTAAGTAATTAATTGTGACTGCCAAGTCTGAAAGACGTCGTTTCAAATGTTCTTTTACACATGGTGGTAATATCATGGCCATATCATACAAGTTTTTTGTTTCTGCCTGATAAGCACAGCTGAAAATCAAACTGATACATTTTTAAAGTAAGATAATATATGGGATATGATAACCAAAAAGAAATCCAGTGATTTAGTAACCATCTCTACATTTTTAGAGCTAACAGATGTACCTTCAGAGATAATACTCATCCAGACATGTTGCAGTTAATAATGTAATATTTTAAAGTCCAGAATTCCCAGTTGTACTACTGGTACAGGAGCTTTATGGACTATTCATGTGAAAAACAGAACTGATTTTGTAAAAAAACCAAGTAGCCTTGGTGTTACCTAATTAAATGCTGAATGTTGACCATCTGTCATTGTAAACTGTGAGTTCTCCTGAAAATAAATATAAACCATGGATGTCTGTTAAAATAATTCTTTATTAGAGCTGTAAGGTAATGCAGTCAGAGGGAGGGGGAGGGGGGCTGAAAGCACACAGCGGAGGGCAGAATCCACAGGATTGCAGATAGATGAGGAGGCTCTACAACACTATGGCTTGCAGGAGATGCCCTGGCACAGACACCCAAGGTATGCCCTGAAAGATCTCTGCACTGAGCAGAGGCTGGAACCTGCTATATCCCCCAGAACAAAGAGGTGGTTAGATCTGAGAGGCAGAATCTGGCTCCAAGTACTGCAGGAGCTATGATTCGTCTGTTGCTCGCAGCTTCTTTCAAAGACATAATTAAGTTCTTAGTTGAAAAAGAAGAGGAAGAAAAAAAGTAATTATGTCTTGAGGTCAAGTCTAACAGCCAAAATCAAACAGAGATTAGACACCCCTGCCAGTGTTGGAGGAGTTTGGTTTTGAAATTCATGGCTGGGGCCCACCATTGATACAAACTTCCCATTACACTTCTTACAAAGTAGAGCATTTCAACATGATTTTAGTTCAATGGCTTTCAAAGGGAACACTGCACTTCACACAAGAGGAAACCTTACCCTTAGCCTTCTCTCAAACGTGGAGATATTGCCTTTGGTCTGCTCCCTCCTTTGCCTCCATTCAATGAGATTTGAGTTATGCTCTCCAGGAAGGGAGATATTGCACTTCCCTAAAGTGGGACTGACTACTCCTGCCAGAATATGAGGCTCTGTGTTAAGCGTGATTTCCATTCCACTGGCAAAGGTGACTCTCAGAGACCCATCTGGGCTGACCCGGTAGATATTCTGTGTGTTATCTGTCAAAAAAAACAACAAGCAAAAACAGGGAATACAGAAAATTTCAGATTCACAGGTTTATGAAGAAAATGTCAGGTGTAATGGGGCTTTGTCCCAAGTTTACAGACTTTTGTTCATACACTAAGTGCAGTGCAATTTTTGAAATCTGTAACCTCCAGATCTACACATGTCTAAGGATCTCTTTATTACCAAATGATTTCCATTGTGCAGGTTTCCTGAGCAGGAGTAAAGAGTTTTGCTTTCAGCCTAGCAGTACATGAACTCATAGGCTGCATTTTGACCACTGTTATTCCTCTACTCTTCCCCACTAGCAGCAGGACCCCAGGACAGAGGTTCCATGATGGCCAGCCATGAGACTGAGTTCTACAGTTTGCATAGGGCTAAGAGACAAAGAGAATGTCACCCTTAATAATCAACTCCTCCTTCCTACACGTGCTGCCATCAGGACACAGTACTACCAGAAAGAATTCATGGCACTGGCCAAACATGGCATTTCAACTACCAGAACAGCAGCAGAGCGCATCACTCCTTGGGCACAGTTCTCAGAATTACAAAGCTCGGTGTATTATGGGTCAGTCCAATTCCCCTAGATACTGGTGTGGTTAATAGCATGTAAAGCTTGGAGACATCAGAGATTTCAATAACTGGAATCTACCCACGGGATTTTTCTCGGAGGAAAAGAATTCACTGGTGGTTTGTTCCTAGCAGGAACCTCAGGAGAAATGTAAGTATTATCGAGCTATTTGTACTGAAACAAGGAAGAAACAAATGAGCTAATTTCAGTGTCTTTCTGTCAAACAGTTAAGAATGCAACAATATTCAGAGTTTGAAATGCGAAGACTAGGAAAGAAATAACAGAAATGCCCTCATTACCTTGTTTTAAAGTATATATTGTAGAAGTAGCTGAGAAGTTTGTAGCTGTGACCACGTTCTCCCGGTTTGAAGTATCAAGTTCCACTCTTGTCAGTTTTTCAACATCACTGTGGAAACTGCTGACTTCCCCAGTTGGGAATGTGGCATTGGTCAGGTGGCCATCAGAGTCGTACCTGCAACACACAGCATTAACACCACAGGAATACGTGCCTGCAGATACTGCTGACATTTTTAAAAAATAGAGGGAAAAAAAAAAAAGATGCATTTTCAACACTGCTCAATAGGCAAAAAGGTAAGAATTAGTGTGTGTTTCATTCTGAAAGCCAGACCTTAGGCTACTGCAGCACTCCATAGTGCTGAGGTGCTGGAACAGCTGCCCAGAGAGCTTGATGCCCCATCCCTGGAGGTGTTGAAGACCAGGTTGGATGGGGCCCTGGGCAGCCTGGCCTAGTACCAAATCTGGAGGTTGGTGGCCCTGCCTGTGGCAGAGGGGTTGGAACTTGATGATCCTTGGGGTCCCTTCCAACCCAAGCATGATTCTATGATTCTGTAACTGCCTTTTGCTGCTGATGAGTGAAGCACATAATATGAATGGCGAATTGAAAAAAAGGAACCTAAAGCATAACAAGAGCAATAAAATTGGGTGGAAGTCTGTTTGGTCACCTGTGTGGTTTTCACTCACGTGTTACGTTTCCCAGGGGCCAGAACTTCCCATCACAACTAAAATCACCTGAATCTAGAGTGCCCCATTTCAGTTAACCTAAATTTAATCAGTGCTAAAGAAACTGTTCTTGTTTAAAGGGCTCTACGCAGTAATCAGGCCATGTTATGAAAAAGTCAGTGAGTAATTCAAAAGCTGCGGAGCAATGTTCCTAATGGGTCTCTTCAGTCTATAGATAAGTTTGTTCTTTCTGATGGTTCACACAGCAAACAACGCATAACAGTGGTTGATGTTTGTTATAGTTTCATATTAGTGCCACCCATCTTAAAAATCTCATTGATCCTGAGACATTTTTACTCATCCTAGAGAACTCACCAAACATGCTGAAGACGCTTTTGCATGAGTAAAATCGACAAATGTTCATAAAATAGAAGTCCACCTGAGCAGGTAGGAAAGCATAATTAAGTTTTCATCTTTTATTAACTGTCTTTCTTGCACTCGCAAAATACATCCTCAGCTGGTGTAACAACTGGCACAGCCCTGCTCCCTCCAAGGGGAGCTCTTCCATTTCACATCAGCAGATGATCTGGCAATGTCCTTCACTTTAATGGGTTAGCATCCTTTCTTTCAGGCCCTTACCTACCCCTAATTAGACAAAATCTGTGTGTCACAAAAGATATTGATGAACAAAATCAGGAATTCCCTTTTCCATTCGATATGAAAAAGAAAACAGAGCAGCCGTTCTTCTCAAATGAAACATTGGAAAACTTGGCAAGCATCTTGTATTTTTTGACAAGTAAATTCATTAAATGTTAAATACAATATAATCTCTCTCCCTTTCACCTCATGCTGCCCTAACACACTTTGTGTGACTTCTTTACATCTCACCCTGATGTCAGTTCTGTGCCAATGGACCAAGTGCCACTCTCTGTGATTAAAACAGATTAAGAGCACTCCTTTTCATCATTAGAAAACTCCACAAACACTGGGCAATTATATTTCATTTACTACTTGATCAAACAGATACGACAGCTTGCTAAGTCATTTGGATTTTCTACATTACTACACAAAAATCCTCAAATCATACATTTTTATGGGATAAATGCAGCCAGTTTGTTGGAATATAGTTGTGCATAAGAATCAGGATCCACCTGTGCAAAGGACAGGTTCTGCTGCTGGATGCTGCTGATGAAAAGGTACAGAACTTCCTGGGTAGCTGAAACCGGGACTGGATAGCAGACCAGACTAACATGAGTCTGTAGAGCATATGCCCATGTACCCTAACTCAAGTGCATGGTACAGCTGACTTCAAGGTCAATGTCTCCATAACGGTTTCACAGTGTGATCATCTAAAGGGCTTTTTATATTCCAGATCGCTTCAAGAAACCCAGCCCTCTGAGGACAGGTTCTGCCACCTTTCACATGATGAATAACAGCATACTTGGTCTCAGTTCTTGCAGAGCAATGTCCTACCCATACTAGTAGGGGCAGAATCATGACGTATTTCTTAATGTTAATTTGGTGCCCAGTTATTGCACTGTTAATCATTCTGGTGACCATTTAATCATGCAAATAATTGCACTGATTTCAGTACTCACATGAGGAAGTGCTCACCAATATTAGAAAAGCACACCTGGGGATAGAGCTTCACAATCTATTTGCATTTCTATGTGTAGCACAGTTAAGAGTTATATCATTTCAAAGGGAAAGCAGTCTAATTAATTTTTTCAGAGAGGGCTGTTTCTTGCAAATGTTTTCTTGTCCTTGATTTAATAGAGGCCCAGTGGCCCCCCTCCTCTTTTATGGCTTTAATGATATAATATTAGGAAAAAACCCTGTATGACTGAAATTGTACATTAGCACATAATTTTATGCAAGAGCTCTTTCAGTGCTTCCATTCTATCAGATTAGACTAGATGGATGACAAGTACTTTTGTAGGTGGTTTTCTACCTCTTAATAATTTCCCTCTGAGTGAATCTGACACACAGGTACGTGTTCTGAACAGTTCATTATCTTTGCTCACATTCCCAACTATGTGTGATATGTGTTGTTAAACAAACTCATTCCTATTTCAGCTTGATGGTGACATGGATTGAACTTTCGGATGTAAATGCAAATCTAGCTTAAACAGAAAAGTTGATTGCAGGCAACTGGAAAGTTGCTTGTATGTAATTCCCTAAACTCCAACACTCTTTATATTTGACTGAGGACCATCATCTACCATGAGCTATTTACTGTGAAAAGGAAAATCAGCTTCTGAAAACACATCTACGTTCAGCATATCATTGACTATATCAGTTGTCCCTCTGACATGGCATCTCAGCCACTCAGAAAGTTGTAACATATTATGAAGATGCCTTAAAATATTGGTCTGAACAATAAATATTAACAATATGACTTCACCATTTAATACTGCTGTTATTTTTGTAATGTTAAATCTGTAACTCTGTTAATTCTACTGGCAGATCTACACTGGCAGAAGTGCACAAACATACAGTCTGTACGACTGAAAGCATCAGTGCGGACACTGTCCCTTCATGTATCTCTGGGTGAAGAAATCAGTACTACATACAGTGGGAGGACCTTGCAAGCAGGCAGAGTCCTTTAAAAAGAAATCATACCGAGTCCTGCATTACAAACTATTTGTCAGAGGACAACAGGCATGAGCAGTAATTGTCTGAAAAGGCTTATGGCTGATGTCAGTGGGACAGAGTAGGAGCAGCAATATGAAAGCCACTGAGAAGCACAGGACTACACATAATCCCCTCTAACATGCTCGAACCATAAAGGCCCTGAAATGATGCATAGTGTTCAGCGTTTTAGGAAGCAGTAGACATGACTTGGAGCTACTGTGAAAGCTTTTTGAAAGTGTCATCTGTCCACCACCAGAATTGATCCCATCCTCTGGTAGGAATTTAAATGAATCCCTCTTCTTTCAAAGAAGCACATATTTTAATTCACTTCTGTATGGAATAGATATCACTCTTAGATCAGTGTTTAAACTGCACCAGACAGCAAGCACCAGCCTTGTGCTCTTGCATGAAACTTGCAACTTCTATCGCTAGATGCCAGATAATGAGAACTGAATCAGGGAGGCTCTGTATGGTTTTGTTTTGAATATCATCAAAAATGGCCCTAATTGTTTATACCTAGAGCAACTCTATCACTTATTCTGTTTTTAGTAGAATAATTGAGGGCAAAATGGAAAAATATCCCCTTCAACAACAAATCCCACACTCCAGGCAGCAGTTTCCCTTGCTTTTATCCTACTTGCAGTTTAATAAAAAATAATTCTAAAAAACCTATAATGATGGTGACTCAGCTGCCTTTCCAGGTGACTTATGCAGTAGCTTCATTTCTATTCATATCTCACCTGGATGGCTTTTCATTTTCCTTTTTGACAATGGACTCCTATGCTCTACAGAAAGCAGGCATTATTTTCCTTGAAGAACTTTGAACTAGTAGGGCAGTGTTAACACATGGTTTCCATCAGCCACTTGACATGTTCTCAAACAGGAATTATGACAATTAATTATAAATAATGAGAAATCCTGATATATCACACCTCTTTACAAATCAAACGTTACTTTTCTCTCGGGTTGTTCTCTCCCAGGGACCAGACTCTAACATTCTGCCTGTATCTTTACTGGCTTGTCTTGCACTTTATGAGTCCTGTCAAATGTCTCAAAGTCTTCCTTATAAGGCCATTCCTATACCACTAATATATATCTTTTTCCTATTAGATACATATATATATTTAATAATATATCCTCTTCCCCTACCAATGGAGACAAGTCCATTCTTGCTTTTGAATGTTCCTTCCACCAAGATTCTCAATTTCTTTTGTAACACTCCTTGCTCCTATGAGTATGTTAATTTTTCCCATTTTGTCTTCCTCAGGGCTTTTGCAAATCTGTGATTCACATCACAACTTGCCTCTACTTCTTTAGTTACCAAAAATTCCAAAACCATATTTGCATTTAGAGAAACAGAGATTCACACTAATATGGTATGAATGACGTGTAGTTCCAGGCAGTTTTTCTACATGCAATGGGCACTGTTTACATTTACATTGTGTACATTTACATTTGACATGCCGTAACGTTTTACTGTTTGATTGTAAGAGCTTGTGCAATAGATTTGCTTTTCAAATTACTAGAATGGATCAAAAAAAATGTAACGTTTGTTTAAAACAGGGCTCCTTAGAGACAAAAATGTAATGTCACGGACTTACTCATACACAGTTGTCCATCCATTTTCATCACTTTTGGTTGCTAGAAGTCCTGTGTTTCCAGGATATGTCATCAGAGCCAGGTTGTAGCCTTGGGCATAAACCCTTTTCAGAACACCATTGCTGCTTATTGTCAGCCAGTACACCTGGCCGCCCGGCACCACGACCCACAGGGGCAAGCCGCTCGTGTCTCTGCGGATGTGCACCGAATTCCCATTGCTGCTGGTAATCGTGACAACATCCCCTTCTCCGCTGTAGGTGAAGTTGTAAATATAGTCCCTCGTGATGAGGTTCAGGGTGTGCAGGTGGGTGCCATTGATGGTGAACTGATACAGTTCCTGGTCTGCCGGTGACGCAATCTCGTACATATTCGTGTCACTGAGGTGAGCCTTGTTTCGGCTGATGGCGCGGATGCGAACGTTGCCGAGGTCTGCTACGTACAGCGTGTCATCAGGAGAGACTGCTAGGGAGGAAGGTGCTTTCAGCTTTGCATCTTTGGCATACCCACCGTCACCTGGGAGATAGACGGTAATGTTAGTAATCTGCGATGTCTGCATTTAGGCTGAACCTCAAAGCCTGCCTTACTGCTTCTTCTCAGTAGTTATATGTCAATAGGAGAGTATCTGCTTCCAATTCATTAAACCTCCATTATCTAAAGCTGGTGCAATTCTGGATCAGTCTCAGTAAAGACAAACTAGAAGACAAATTATCCAATTTACACCATTTTTACTAACTCCAAAGCCCTGATGCTCAGGGAAGTATCACATAGCGAAACATGAAAGAAAAAATGTTAACGACAGGTGAAGTTTCATTTCCTGCTTCTTGTATACTGATACGTGGTCCAAGTAGAATTGTGGTATAAATAAAACAAAGAGCACGTAAAAATCAGTAATTCAAAGTAATTACGTGAAGCAAAGATTAGATTGTACTTACTAAAATCTCAACATTATAGGAAAATAAACGAGATTAATAGCCAAAAAAGGCCTTGAAAATATACCCCCTCCTATAACAATCGTAATTGTACTTAGTACTTATAAATACTATGTATTTTAAGATTCAAAGAGATTTTGTGTAACCGGAAAGGAAGCATACTAAGCCTCACTCTTAGAGAGCAGCACATTACTGTTACTATTGCTCCCTTTCTCCTGACTCAGAAATACAAATTGATGGAGATTTTGAGCATGTCCTTTGCTGCCTTGGAAACAGACAAATGAGCTGGTCTCTGCCAACCTGTGCCTGCCTTTCACCAGCCCAGCACTGGCACAATCATTAGCTTGTACATTTCTGTGTGTGTGCTGAGGGTAGATTCCCTGATTCAGAAGCCCGGACAGGATGCTATTCAGCACTGGTACAACAGACCATACCTGAAGCTGGCAGCATGTGGCAAAGCTCATGAGCTTTTGATTATCCACAATGGGTCAGTAATTCACCTCCTCTGGAAGACCATTTACATTTTTTTTTCTCTCCTTCTTGACATACTTTATGTTTTCTTGTCAGTCATTAACCTTTTACTCGAAATGGGCGGCTTATGAAATATGATAGCCTTACAGAGCTGCACAAAGTGGTTCCTGGAGATGGCAAGATGACAGTATACTGCCTTCCTCTGTGTAAGGGAACATTCTCTTTGGTTCCATCGTGAAATAGGCTTGTGTGAAAAAAAAGCCCACAACAAAAAGGCGTGAGATAGCACTTTTCACAGGATGTGGAACATTTTGATACTCTCCTTGGCAAAAAGAGCTTCCACATCCAGGAGCATTCAGGTGCAATCTGCACAGGGGCTGCTAACATCTTCAGCACGAGCAAAGCTGACACAAAACACCATACTTAGGACTCATTTTGAATGATGTGCAATCTCTGTATCGAAACAGGAAAATCTGTGCCCACTCAGAGGTTCTTCCAGTGCCAGCTGGAAGACTCATGCCTCTGCACCCAATGGATTGAACAAATTCATGCTGATATGGAGATGCTGATAAGGCTTTCTGCTTTTCAAGGAAGTTGAACCACCTTTTGCTAACCTGCAGCTATGCCAGAGGGTCTCGACAGTGCAACAACAGGGAAGTACAGGATAGCGTTGTCTTACCTGAGAAACAGTCACAATTAGGATCAATCTTGCAGTCACAATCTGACGGGGCTCCGGCGATGATGGAGATCTCACCGTTGGTTGTGACCTGTTGTATGCGGTTGATCTTTCTTTCATCAGTCTCAGCAATGTAGAGTATCCCGCTGTGGGACACAGCGATGGCTCGGGCTGACTCCAGGGTGGAGTGAATGGCCACCTTGCTGACGATGAAGTGGTCAATGCCGGGCACCTGGCAGTGAATGGGGCGTCCTGCGATGATGCGCACACGTCTGCTCTCAGAGATCTGCAGGACAATGTTGTTGTCCAGGACGTACAGCGAGTTGTCCAGCGGGTTCACTGTCAGGTCTGTTGGCCACTCTAACCGCACCTGTGAAACCAAACCAAGGGGAGGGCAGGTTCAAAAAAGAAAAAAGAAAAAAAGAACAAGTAAGACATAAAGCAATTTTGTTCAACTATCTCTGAGGACCACGTCATCAAGGGGATTTACCCACTGCTGCTGTGCTAGTATGTACTTCAATTGCGTTTGTCAGAAGATGTTTCTATAAGCATACCCTTTTTGTGAGATCCAGCACCAATGTGGAACTAAATTTGATTTCAAAAGTAATTTAGCAACCCCTGAAAGGTATTTGCAGAAGTCCATTAAGGGCGGAACTTTATTATACCTATGCATTCATGCAAATAAAAGCATACACTTTGTGTCATGCAACATCAGCCAGAAAATTCTCCTGGTCTGACTGTTATTGTTTCAAGGTTGCATTCAACACTGGCAGAGTGGGAAAGTTAGAGGTTGTCAATGTCCTAACACCTTAATTGACCGTTAGCACAAAAGGAAAATGACACGGTAGAAGAGCATGACACATTGCCACAATTTATTTACTAAGCCAGAAATGTTAATAAGACTTATGTGCCATAAAATATATAAGCTCATTAATTCTTTGTAATGTAATAATGCATCGATATATCAGACTTCACACAATACAGTAGCCCAGCCATTATTACTTATAATGATTTTAGTTTGTGAATCCAGTATTTCTGTCATGGAGTAAGCAAATTTGTCATAGTTAAGGTGAGCTTTTTGCCTTTCGCCATGAAGGTCAAGGTACCAACCAAGCAAAGTTTCCAAACAGCACTGGAGAAGATGCTAGAAGAATGACCTCACTGACTTGATGCCTGTTGCATCAGGACCTGGAGGAATCCTGCATGTTCCCAGCCGGAGGTGGGGCAGCCTGTCACCCTGCAAGACAGCTGGTATGGAGGCTGCTGACCACAGTGTGTTCTTGTAAGAACTTCAAATTCCTCCTACAGAGAATGCTCTGCAGCCAGTGCAACAGTTCTAGTCTGGGAATGAGCAGCTGAGGAGACCGGTGCTTCTCCCCAGTTGAAGGCTGATGGAGGATTTAGTTTGCAGCTTGTCTATGGAAAGGTCACAGAACAACTGAGTTGTAGAGATGCAAGACAGACTATTTTTATCTCAAGATGCTTTGCTTGTTATCCTTCGTGAAGAGACGGCTGCTTTTATCTGAGTGGAATTTCTACAGACTAAATACTTCAGTCATCAGAAGAGAATAAATGCCAAACTAAAATGCAATGGTCTTATAGGCAGTTTCCCCAGAAGCTTCCACTATTTCATGTACTGTTTTTTGTTCATTTTTCCACTGTGCTAATTAAAAGATCTATGAATGCAGAGCCCACAGATGATGATACAATGCTCAGCACTGCAGAATAACATATGGTGGAGTGTGTGGCCATCACAGGCCACCTGCTCACCCAGGGTCAGCACAGGCACCAGGCTGAAGGCCAGCTTCTGCCTTTCGCAAGCACTGGTACTTCCAGATAATCTCATCTCCAGAAGCACATTGCTGGTTTGATAATTGATGTTTTAATAAAGCGAGGGCACTGCGGCTCCTGTATCTCGCCCTGCGTGGTTACGTGGTGCACCACACCATTATGAAGGCTCACGAGTAATCGAACTCCTCCTCGTGCCCAGTCCATTTTACTAGACAACATAATAACTGGCATTAAAACTAATGCTGCTGGGTTCAAGATCTCTTCCGAACCAAGTGGCAGAATCCCTCCAAATGATGATAACTGCAGTGAGACAGTCGGAAGCAGATTCCTGCCATACGGGTGTGAATTGTGTGTCCCACCCAACAGGTACGGGCTGCTGCACACTGAGCTGCTAGCGCATCCCTTCCCCATTTCAGCTCAATGGGACCTGAACAAAACTTCAGGCACATGCCAACCTCTACAAGGCTGGCTGTGGGAAACTTGGGAAGAAACATATCTGCAATGTGCTTTCAGTGCAGAACGTTTGATTGCTCTGTCACACCGAATGGATTATTTGCAATGGCAGACACCTTCACGCCCCCTTCACAGATCGCTCTGCTGTAAAAATAATCTGTGATTAACTGTAACTAGATTATTAGTGGGAAAAACTTTGGGTTGAAACTCCCTACTTTTGCCATAACAACGACGCATAGCACCTGCCATATCTTAATACCTGGTTTGCCTTCACAGACCAGCCACATTGTCTTCGCCTCAGTGAATAAATTGAATTCCTCCCACTGTGAAGGTATGTCTGGTGTCTTGCAGATAAACAGCGTCTGATCTGGACCAAAACAACTTCTTCTCTGGTTGATTTGAGGCTGGTTTTGTTTATTGAGGTAGAATAAGCTTTTATGGAAATGTCCATTTCACTTGCAGCAAGGTGCCTAAAACCTAAGAAGAAGCTGGATCTTAACAGCTGCCATTATCTGCAAGCGCACTGCTTTCATACTGATTGCTTCTGCAAATCTAGCTGCATTATGGTAAAAATAGATCAAATTTAAATTGAGGACATCTAAACAGTTCTGGCTACTAAACCTGACCTGCCAGCTAGCTCTCTGCAAAGCTCGCAGAAGGATGGCTGCACTCATTCCTGGGTTTAAAGCAGTTGTGGATGTATTAATGGTCTAATTCCAGGCAAAATATTAAAGCTAGCATGTACCTGTCTAGAGACTGCAGCAAAAAAACTGCTGCCACTTGCTGCCGGAGGGGAAAAAAAGGCCATGTAGACCAATTAAAAGCAGCAATCAAACGCACGAACAAATGCAAAATGCAGAATGTTCTGAATCCAAAGAATAATTTCAGATTTGGAAAGAAATCTGTATTGCTCCGGTCAGGATGTGGTGTCACGGCATTAAAGGAGCATGAGCTGGGGCTGCTGCTCACCCCTCATCTGCCCCTGCAGTCCCCACAGCAGCACTGAGCTTTCCCTGCTCCTGTGGTGTGTGGGTTCAGGAATCGTGTCTGGCTGAAAACTAATCACCTCAATCAGCTTAAGCTGAAGTGTAAGTGCACCCTCAGGTTCACTGTTACCTTGAAAAGTCACCGGTTGTTTCTTTTCTTTGAAAGCAAGCTGCCCTCTGGCAGGTTTCTGTGACCAAACCATCAGTTGTGCTGCGTTCAAAGCCAATAAACATATTACAGAGAAGCACTTCAATTCTCATCTGATATGACTATGCCTATTAAAAAGTTTTTCCAGACAAACACTCAGAGTTAGAATATTAAGTCAGTTAATATACTTTTTAATCTGAAGCAGCACTTCAGCTGCAGAGTCCTCTCCTATAGATGTATATTTTTCTTATAATTAAAAATTGAGCCAACTGCCAAGTGTGTTTGCTTATAGTTGATGGGTTTTTATTTTTAAGCAGTGCACAGAAATGGCTTTGCAGATTATCCCATTATGAGCAAAAAGATAAGATTTGTTCAGCGGCAGTCAATGCCTTACTTCACACATTGAAATTTTCAGGTGACAATCTTGGTTTGGTTCACTGGAGACTGAGCATATGCAGTGGAAATCACTGTGAAAACAAGTGAACCCTTGAGCAATGAGACCTTTTGCATGTAAGTATTAGCATGTCAGCTTCTCCTGGAATCCAGCATTTAACTGTCAACATAAGGCTCTAGCTATAGGTAATAATCAATGACTGGTTTGAGAAGTGCAAAATTAAAACCCACTGGCCTGGCTTTCTAACAGGTTTTTTTCATGTCAAGTGTTCTGGAAAATACAAAATGCACTGAGATGGTTTCAACTTAAATACATTTTCATGGGGAGATCTACATTTAGGTAGTTAAATAGCTCTCAGGCTTGAATGGCTGGTATATTTTCTTTCTTGCAATAATCTGCTACCTATCTGGTTGCGAAATGCTAAATATCTTTTGAGCAACAGAACATTGGAACTAAGTAAATTTTGTGAGTTTTTTGCAAAGTAGGACTCACACCAGAGCTACTTTCACCCATACACCTCTTAAACACACAGAGACACACAGAGACACACATCAGTGTTAGCAAAGAGTACCATTTTGTTTTTTGTTTTGACCACACCACCAAAACATTCTGCACATTTTACAGCCGTGGCATTTTTGCTGTTACTTTGCAGAAATCAGATCAAACACGTTTTACTGTTCATATCATAGCAAGAAAAGTAATGAGGGAAAAACTTATCCTTGTCCACAGATGCAGATTTCGAGAGCTTAAATGTTTGAGGTGCTGGGGTGAATTTCACTGGGATAAGTTTCATTTATCATGGGTTAAAAGAAACTGCATAAATCCATAGAAAGTCTTCACAGTTGCTTTGATTTCTTGCCATGCACTGATTGTATGTTTTGATTCAATTTCATGTAGTAGCATAAAATTCATGCCAATTGCTTCTGATAGTCCTGACTGATGGATTACTTCCTATCGGTACTGCTCAGCCTCAAGCATTTCTATTTATGCTGGCTTTGTCTTTATTCTGCTCTATGATACGCATTTGCAGACCTCATCACAGCCTCCTCTATATTTCTCTTTTGCTGCTAACCTCATTCTCTCATCTCTTTCTCTCCACACTCACTTCAGATGTTGCTTCCAGCACAGCCGTGTATGGACCCCACTGCCATGTGGAGCAGTATTTTCCTCCTCCTGCTGAACCCCTTCTTTCTCCTCCTCCCCTGTGTACAAAGGCTCGGAAAAAGGACTTGCTTAGGTGGGGCTCTAGAGGTGAACACAGCTTACAAGGCTGGAGGAGCCTGGTTCTGCTTCCCTGAACTTCCTACACAATGTCTCACTATATATATTCCTCTCTATTTCCTCACAGTTGACAAGCACTGATATTTTTTTCATCATTTTCTGACAGTTTGCTCTCACTTCTGGGCTCTCTCTTTTGTTGACAGTGACACTGTCAGCGTATCTCCTTCCTTAATGGCACAGAGACAGAGCTCTGCTCACGCAGCCTGACACAGGGAGCACTTGGCATGGTGGGATTACAGCTTCCTCCCACTCGGAACCAGCCTTTGTTCCCCATGCTCCTGATGCTGCCTACTACAAAATTCAGAATTATGCAGTTC